TAAGTGAGTAGTATTTGTGGGCCCACAAAAATATATGGATAAAAATGATTTCACCAATTTTAAACAATTTAGAAATAGTAGCCAAACATTGGATCAAATCTCAAATTATTGAAGTTCCTGTTTCCTATAATTTGTTTGTAATTCACATTTGCAAATGGTTTTCCATAATAAATGTATTTTTTTCTTGATATACTCATAAATGATTTCTTTCTTCTTCTACCAGAAGGCTGAAGAATAGGCTCAAAAGAGCTGAAGTGAATCATCTGTAGTGCACATCGACTTTATGAATTCTTGGTTTGTAGCATTTCTGAGAATAAATGTATCTGACCTTGCGTAGCTCTTGATGAGGCTTGGTCTTTGTATACAGTGTCAATATTTTTAACTGGTAAAGATGGGTTGTAATTTCGTTAATTCTCTTCAAGACTTCTATGGATATTCTTGCGTGTGGTCTAGTTTTACGTCAAGCGCTGCTTTATTCAGCAGGCAGAATAATATTAAATGTCTCATTCATATAAATGTAATTGCACATCTTGCTCTTAAGCCGATTTCTAATTTTTATAGGATCTGTTTGGTAAGTTACTGGATAAAATTGTCAAGTAGCATGAACAAGATTGTAATTTTTAGGTTATTTCTTTTTAAGTATTGTAATTTGTAATAGTGATTTTTTTTGGAAAATGTGCAGAGAATGAGCTCAAAACAGGGGTTAAAATCAGTTTTTTTTCCCCTCTCGAAACCAAGCATGCCTAAATATTGTCAACCAGATGGTTGTACTGAAACTAGCAGTGATTAAGCCCCTGTTTGACATTCATTTTGTTTGAAAAATAATTTTTGGAATAGTGATTGATGGAATATTGTGTGGTTAAAAAGTAAGGAGAACTTTTGGGTTTATGTGTAATATTATTTTATTAATAGAATGTATTATTGAAATGAAGAATGAGAAATAGAATGAAAAAAAAAATGGATGTGAAACGGGGGCTAACTGTGCTTCTCGATTGCCTTAGAGAAAAAACTCATTAGGAATAGATCAATATCAGCATATAGATTACTACGTTGTTTTAAATATTGTCGATATTTTAAAATCTTAGCCCTGGTTTGAGCTCATTTTATTAAAAACTCATTTTTCAATAAAATAGTCATACTGTGTACAAATTAGGTCGACAAACTTGGTTTATAAATAATGTGTTGGTAACATTTAGATCAATCATTTCAAAAACAGTTTTTGAAATCAATGGTCTAAATTTTGCCAAACACTTAGGGTCTGTTCTCTTTACCATTTTCAAGCCGTTTTCTATTTTCGATTGTCCAAAACATTGAATACGCATTCTTTTTCCCATTTTCGAAAACGAGTTTTTGAAAACATGTTAAAAATTTATAAAGAAAACTCAAAACGACAATTTGTCGTTTTGGGTGTTTTCAGTTATAATCAAGTCAAAATTTTCAAAACGCGTTTTCGGTGTTTTCAAAACAATTTTTCAGAATACCAAAAAGAACATATTTTTAACAATCTCAAAATGAACACTCAAAAAACAAAATACAAAATGAATTCAAAACTCAAAACACAAAATTGAAATACAAAGAGAGCATCTCCTTATTTTGTAAACGAAGTTTGTAGACAAAATTAAACTTTCTAAACAAAGTTTGAACAACTAGATTACTTGCTTGTTCCAAAGTGTTTTTTTCCCCTCAAAATGAGACTCAAACAAGGGCTTAATAGTTAGCTATTAATACAATTTTTGCTTTATACTGATTAAAAATTACGTATAATTTCAATATTTTCATACTGTGCTTATATGTGTGATTAATTATTAACTGTTTTGTTGAACGGGAAGTCTTGACCTTGAACCTCTAATTTTTCATTGGGTTAAAAACCTTGCTAATAGTGAGCTGCGGAAATGGCTAAAAGCAGTGTAGGCATAATACGGATCGGAACGAAACAAAGCCTCAGAGAAATTGCACAATTGAACCTCAACTTATGCTCTCTATAGTTAGGTACTCTACAATCTTAAAAACAAGACATTTTAGTCTTCAATCTTTCATCATTCATGTGCAAATTGGGCGAAAGTCGTTATTACTAGAGTAAAATGGTTCATTCACATATTTTCTATAAGAATTATTAAAAAAAAAAAACGAAAAAAAAACCCTAACTTCCCTCCAAGCATGATTCATAAAACGGAATGTAAGAAAATTTGATTCACTTTCGATGCGAGAATTATGTCCACTTATTGATATTGTAAAATATCATTATATCTGAGATGGATGTGGGAGCATCAACTCCGATCCTGTGGGCTTTTGAGGAGTAGGAGAAATTGTTGGAATTCTATAAAAGAGTCTCATCCTCGAGTTCATGTCATGATAATAGAACAAGTACCACCTGTATATAACTGTAGTTAGTCTAGCCTGAGACCCTCCAAAAAAGTTGGGGAATTCGATAGGGCTCTGATTGCAACTTAGTTAGATTTTTTTATTGATATTAGCGTTCTACTGACTGACTGGACTTATATCCAGGGAGTGAATTCTCTAGGTTAGGCGAGCTCTTTTCTCCTGGTAGACCGGATGGTGTTCATCAGTCAGTTTGCTTCTTTCTTTGACTGACGTAATTGATTTGCCCTTCCTTCCGATTCGGATGGAGATGCGGAATAGGAGTGAATTCTCTAGGTTAGGTGAGCTCTTGGTAGATCGGTTGGTGTTCTTAAAAATTATAGAGTTCTTTGATCTCATACTTAGCATCGAGAGTTCTTGCCCCCAAACCCCTGAACCAGGGAACAACCGTCGACCTTAACACAAAGGTCAACGACATTTGAAAATTTTAGGGAACAAAAGCTTGATAGCTAATTTTATGACACCACCAAAGAGAGTATTAGACCAAAAGAAGGGAAAAGTTTGTATATTAGACCATTCATTTATGCTTATATAGTACATACCAAACATATAAGGAAACATACCCTTCAAGAACAAATCACCATTGTTATGAAAACTGGAATGCTCAAATACCCGTTTGTTGTGAAAAGATGAGAGATTAAGCTACAATATGAAGTAAAAATTACGAGAACAATGTAATTTTGCAGATAATGGAGATTTTATTATAATATGAAGAAAAAAATACAAAAATTATGTGTTTACAATATTTAACTTTTAACTTCTCATTAAATTATAACAAAGAGCCAACTATATATAAGGAATAAATAGGAGATATCCAAACTCTCATAGTAGATTTGTAGATGGAGTAGAATGTCAAAAATGGAGTCCAAACGAAAAAAAGAGACTAAAACAGCACAGATGGCGGAATATCGGCCGCGCCGCAATGCCGTGCTTGGTGCCCTGCCAAAATTATCGTGGCGCCGCGATGATGGCGCATCAGCGTCCACTCTCGGATCCTTTACTCCAAAAATCTTAATTTCCTTCATCCCAAAGTTCTCTTCAAGTCGTTGATTTTTCTTAATGTGCACTTTAATTAGAACTCTCAATTATCTTCAACAAAAAATTTGGATCATACCCAAATTCTAACAATCTTCTTACATCTACAACTTCATGGCTATAATTGAACCAACAAATACCCAAGACATTCATCTGGACGCCATATAAATCTACACCCTCTTTTTTGAAAGATCACCAACAAAGACAGTAAATGGTGATAAAAGAAAAACCTCGAATCACAAGAAAGTGTGATACAGAACAAAATAGGCCACTAGCCTTCGGCTTTAATCGCAGATTAAGCTACAAGCATTTTAAGAAGTATGTTATCTATCTGAAGGACAATTTTACATCGTTGTGTCCATGCCAAATCCCAACATGGATGCTCGGTGTCTCATTTCCGTGTTTAGGCCAACTTAATTGTATCTCTATTCCATTAAGAGTATCTTATCCCAACTGTACACAGTTTAAATGAACAAAAGATGGAGAAAGTTTAGAAACAACAAGAAGCTACTAAGCCCTTTGCTCAATATATATAGGGTTTTGACTATATGAATCTTTTTTTGTCACCCCATTCAGTTGATTTCTAGATTTTCTGTGGAGAAAAGTTGAGAAACATTGTTCAATAATTAAATAGTAGTAGTAGTAGTTAAATGGACATGGCACAAGGTGACGTAACTGAGTCGGGAAATAGTTACTTACATATCTGTACTAGCTAATTATTCTAAAATTCATCGCCAAAATCCAAGTTAACAAAAAAAAAAAAAAGAAAACTTCAAAAAAAAAAATTTAAGAAATAAGTAATCAAAAAGTGAAACCGAAGAAAATCAAAACCAATTAAAACAATAACCAAATGGTAAGCTGTGTTGTACCCATGGGGACAAGTGTTTGTCGAGTGAGTCGTGTGGAAAGATGATGCACAACCGTGTGTATCACTAACTAGTTAGGAGTTACTCATCCGATGTGTACGAGGAGCTATATATGATCATGATAGATCAAATTACTACTTGCCTAGGTGATAACACCGCAGTCCCACCATGAGAGTCCAACCATAAGAGAAAGAGATGGAATAGAACGAGCATAACATATGTTGGACTATCACTGTGGTGAGATATGGTTTGTAGCGGTGGTGTTGCTTATGCCAAGTCATTTGATCAATTACAATCATCACATCTCCTCGACACCCATTGAAAAAGGAGAAATCTCTAATTGCTCAAAGAATCATTGTCACATAATAATCACAAGACACTATATGAGTTCCTTCGTACCAGTTCAGTAAATTATGAACATCACTTATAGTTTAACCACTCGCTCTGCTTAGCGGGTGATGGTTTGATTAGCATAGAATTGTCTCTTAATTGTCCAATATATAAGAATCACACGCCTTTTAAAAACAAATTAGATGTACTCCATTTACACGAGATCGCAATACTATAAAAGTGAAATGTTGGGCATGTAAATGTTAAAGAAAAGATTGGACACTAACTTGCTACAAGGGCCATAAATTAGGGACCTCTAGTGCAATACCTCCCCTCAACGATGCAAAATTTGGAGACCTCCCATTACCAAGGGGATGTTTGCCTTTTGGGATGGCAAGATGCTTCTGCCAGTTTCATTCCCCATTCTCGCTTTCATTGCTGCGTAGAACCTCTGCCAATACGAATATTTTCTTCCTCCAATATTGCCCTCCAAAATCCCACAAATTTACCGCCCCATCACTTCTTCACCACAAAGTTCCGGGTGTTCCATTTTCTTCACTATCATCGCCATCATCCATGGAAAACCCTCCTCAAGGCTACAGAAAAAATGTCGGAATTTGCCTTATGAATCTCTCTAAAAAGGTATTTCCCTATATATACACGTTATAATTATTATATATATGAGTGATGTATTAGATTTAGGGGCGTTAATTTTATTGTTTGTTTTAGATTTTTGCAGCTTCAAGGCTTGATGTACCAGACTCTTGGCAAATGCCTCAGGTATGATTATCTGGTACTCGGTACTCCAAATGGAAGTATTATATATTTGGTTTTAGGTTTGATTTAAAAAGTTCGGCATATTACTCTCTGGTTATTACGGATTTATATTTAAGTGATGTAATATTTAAAGAAATTTTCAGAATTCTGTTATTAGGTGTGAAGGCATTTTCATTTCACTGTGTCCTGCACTTAATATGAGTGTGAAGGCTATTGGAACATTTTGATATATTATTTTGCAGTTTGTGGGATCTTGAAGTAAACTTGCTTTTGTTTCTTCATCCTATATTGCATCCAAGTTTGGGTATTAGTTTCTATTAAGTGTATAATTTTATAGGGTGGAATTGATGAGAACGAGGATCCGAGAAGTGCTGCTATCAGAGAATTAAGAGAAGAAACTGGAGTGAGTTCAGCTGATATTATTGACGAGGTATGGAAGTAAAATTGACTTAATCACTATTTGTTGGATTCAGTTTTACCAGTCTAAACATTTCAAAAAGAAATAAATGCATGTGTAATGAATGAAGGGGATTAAAAATTTAACTACGGCTTCGCCTCAATGCAAACTTGTTTTTGGCCACACAATGTCAAGTTAGCATAATTGAGCATATATTTTCCACAGTTCTAAACTCATAGAAAGAACATCCAGCGGCTATCCTACCCTTTGTTGTAACTCTATGTAGATGAGTTCATGTGTATATAAGATGTCAAACAAGGAGCCTCTGAATGTAAACTCGATTTTTTAGGAAATTGTGAGCTGGTTTTAGAATGAAAGGGTGCAGTTGGTCGAGCTGTAGGATTGCTAATTTACGATGGACCTTGAAGGCCACGAATAAAAGAGGGAATAAGCTAGGTGGTAAGATTCTGAGGAACTTGTAGATGATGTGAAGATAGATAAGGGTGAATGAAGGTAGTGAGTGAAGGAGATGATTGGCTTTGTTGGACAAATAATGATGCCAAAATATACTTAGATTACTAGGCTGGCTGCCTGGGAGGGTAATTGTGGTGACACATACAAAAGATTAGAACCACCGGTAACTCCATATGCTTGTGTGAATGCATGTGTGACTCACTTAAATTTTGTACGTTACCATTCAATGGAAATTTTTTATTCTTGTGAGACTTGCAGAACTGTAGTGTATCAAAGATGTTGACTTGTAGAACACATTAATGCAAAACTGTATTCATGATTTATATGTTAGGCAGTGCATTGCGAGTTCTTGAAAATATAAAATCAGCATGCTTATTGAGTTGAAGTTACTTTAATCACCAACTTCTTTTAAACACAACTGAAAGTTTAAGCAAATAGCAAACTACTATTGGGGTTTTAGGACAGAGTATGATTATTTTTTTCATTTGTTCTTGAGTGGGGGTATAGAAACCGATGGAAAAAGTTTACAAAAAGAATTTCTGTGACTTGGGGGTTTAAAGCAATTAGACAGTTTGTATCTATCCCAGCTTTATATATGGATGAGAGAACGAGAAATCTATTTGGATCTTTTGCTTGCTGAATTTGTTATGATCAACAAATATTGTAAATCATCGATTTTAATGGCAACAAAATTGTCCATTGATAGCTTTTTCAAATTTGCTTTATTGAGCTGTCCTTTACAGAGGATTCCTTCTGCAGGTGCCTTGTTGGTTAACATATGATTTTCCACCGGGCGTCAGGGAAAAACTTAGGCATCAATGGGGTTCAGACTGGAAAGGTCAAGCACAAAAATGGTGAGTACATCTTATCTTCTTTTCCTCATAGATGTGAGATATATTTTACATCCTCGATAGAAAATGCAGCTTTGTAGATAGTTCAAGTGGGGCACATTTTCTCCTTTTGTGAAAATATTGTGCAGTATGAGCCATTGCCTTACAGATACATTACAATTTGTAGAGCTATGTATAAAGCACAAAATTGTGAATATTGGCTTTTGGTGCTAGTGGCCCTCTACCATCAGTTACGTTACATACTGTTCTCGCATTGGCTCTTACTATACTAAACCAGATAAATCTTCTAATTGAGAGAGGGGGAAAAAATTCTATATTATATATGGACACCATCAGGGATTCCTGTTGATTCTACATCTTTGTGACTATGGACTGATTGGCCTACATGGATACATATTATGTTAGTGTTCTAGGGAGAGGAAGATTAATGATACAAGAAAGAGCACTCGTTCCAGGGCGTGAGAGAACAAAGGTTACTGATATCTGAAAGAGTATCCAAACAAATTTGAATAGTGAATTCAGCAAGTAATGATTAGAGTAATCAATTTCCTACAATAGTGAGTCTAATCAATGGGTATATAAAAGAAATCATAAGAGGGGGTCAGATATTTTTAATCTCGTTACTGTTTTGATTTCTAACTGCAGCATACTCGTATAAGTAACAATGGGACTACAATATTCCCTTGTTTTTCGATATTGATTTTGATTAATTATTACTAATTACTTAATATCTGCTATGCATCCTCCCTCACACAAATACACCCCAACTCAAAAAAAAAATCCTATTAGTTTCTAAACTAATATATTTTTACGTATGAAAAGATGCTTTGTGTCTGTTTCGACTGTACCTCAGATTTTATATCTGACTCTGAAATGTGCAAAACTTCAGGTTTCTTTTTAAATTCACTGGAAAGGATGATGAAATCAATCTTTTGGGTGATGGGTCTGAGAAGCCTGAATTTGGAGAATGGTCATGGCTGTCACCAGAAGAAATAACCAGCCTCGTCAGTCCTCTCTTCTAACCTTGAAAAATCTTTTGAAATAAGTATTTTGGTCTTTTCCTGTAATACTGAAATTCAACCTTTTCTATTTCTTTGCAGGCAGTGGATTTCAAAAAGCCTGTATATAAGGAAGTTTGGACTGCTTTCTCTCCACATCTTGAGTAGAACCTTATGGGTCGATTTTTGTTCAAGGAACTGTTTTTCCACCGATTTGGGGGTGTAATATGCAAGGCCATCGACTCACCTAAGATTCGTGTATTACATTACATGACTTAGAAATGGTTGACATATTAACATTTCACTCCAAGTATATTTTTAGGCGTTCCTAATATTTTCTGTGTCATTATGAGGTAGCATGAAATTTTTTTCGTTTGAAGTCACGCTTTCATTTGTAATTTTGAGACAGGTTATGGAGAGTTGAGTATGATTGTCTGCTTTCGTTTTCTTCAATGACAAAGTTTACCGGGATATGGACTTGTGCTATGATTTAAATCATGCTCACGTTCGTCAAATTAATTTGTATTTGTGGTAATATAAGTGGAAAGCAAGGCATGATCTTTATCAAGTCGTGACAATTTGGGTATGTGCAATAGTATTTCTTCATAATGTGCCTTATTTAGATCATATACCGAATGTCAATAATGTCTTTTTGACCTCCGAAAATCAAGTTTTTTTTTTTTTAATTCCTTTTGCCATTCTCTCTTGACACCGAAGTCAACTGATTTCATTTTGTGTCCTTAGGATGCATACTTTAGACCATTTTTTTTTCTTTTGAATATGTTTTGATAATGCCATTATTCTCTTACCAACAATTTTACTTATTTTCACTGTAAAGTATAATTATTGAGGACCTGTTTGACTTAGATTTTGTGAAAGTGATATTTTTTGAGAATGTGTCGTAAAAAGTAGTGAAAGATTATGAGTTTATGTGCAAAATTATTTTATTAGGAGAATATGTGGTTGAAAATGAATTTGAAAAAAGAAAAAAAAAAGTTCTAAAGAATTTGATACAAACGGGGCTTAACGAACATAGAAAAATCCTAACATAGAAAAAGGAAAAGAGTTTATGCAAGAGTGGTATGTGGATGACATGAAAGAAATGGACCACACAATAAGATGCCATTTTCCCGTCATCTACTAAGTCATAAAGCGATAGCTTTTCAAACAAACAACATCCACAGATAATCAAAATTATTCATGACAATATCTTCTAGTTTTAGACCATTGATTTCCTTCAAAGTAAAAGCAGATGGTAGCAGAGAATCAAGAGAAAGAACAACAAGAGTTAGGGAGAGAGGAAGGAGAGAGATTCTTCTTTCAACTGTTAAAGCAGCAGCTGTTGCTCTTGTCACTGACTCCAAAACTCAGCTTCTTGATAGTATGTTTATCTTCCTCATTCAGTTGCTTCTTTCTTGTTCTATGGCATGTTTGGTAAAGGCGACTTGACAAATTTGAATAGTAATAAGGATGAAACGAGAAACTACAATTTTGTTGATTGTACTCTCTGGTGTTCTTTAACAAACATAGAGGTTTATTTTTCTTTTCTCGTTACTTGGATAAGATAGTCGTTAATACGTAGAGCTTAACGATGTTTGAGTTTTTATTCTCAGAGTATCTGAAGAAATCACAAGAAAACAAGGCCAAAAATGATAAGGAGGTAAACTTAATTGCTTGTCTCACTGCAATTTTCTATTTATTGTTCCTTTATGTCTAATTAATTAGTTTTCTGATTCATTTCTATTTAATCCTTTCATGTTCTTCTCAGAGACTGGATAGTTATTACAAGCGCAACTACAGAGATTATTTTGGGTTATTAGAAGGGTCTCTCAAGCAGAAGACAGACCTCTCTGAATCAGAAAAGGGCATTCTTGAATGGCTTGAGAGTAATAAATAACTTCTTGTAGATATCAACAACTTTGTACCAAAGTTTTTCACTTGGCTTAATCTTCCTCATGGAATTTCTACTCACATCTTCAATTGATTTGTCTAGTTTAGAATGTTGGAAGCTAGCATATTCATGAGAACTATATCCACTCTAAGGGACCGTTTGATAGGTAAAGGTGAAAAAAAATTCTAATTCCATATTAGTTGGAAAATAAAAATTCACCAAACTCATATGAATTCGTTTTCCATGAAAACAAAGAAAATGCAGATTAAAGTGGTTGTGCTTTGAAATTTGATTTCCATTTCCACGTTACAATCAAACGGCCAAAGTAGAATTCATTTTCCATGGAAAATGTAGTTGTCAAACAGGGCCTAAATGCTTTCCACGTAGTTAAGTTTAAACTTGACCCTTGAGTTATAACTATTTGATTTATTTTTCTTTAGAAGACACTGTTGAATTCTACGCATCTAAGGATGACCTTGAACTACCTGAACTTCCAGTAGAACCTCAGTTATATCTCTCATCCAAGTCATGAGTACGAGCATGAAAGAAGAAAAGGGTACTAAAATCGATATATACAGAAAACATAGTAGTTCAGCCAGATGAGCAAATGGAAGATTCCTTTTCATTTTCTTTAACAAAAAGAAAAACGAGGGAAATGAGCTACGAGCCTTTGCTCCCTTATTGCTCTTTTCCTCGACTCCACTCTAAGCCCACGTCGCCAATTGATACTCAAGTGGGAATCACGTTACTCAGATTGCTTTCTATGTACACGTTGAAACACCGCATGTTTGCTTGGCTTTCAACTTAGCCTTTCACTTGTGAAGTTTCATTAAAGAGATCCATTCCACATTTGAACCTGAGAAATCAACAAAACATATTCATCAGCTGAGAACTAGATTGTTTTTGTCTAATACAAATGCTAGAGGCATGTGTCCTTCAAGCAGACATTCGAAAGGCATAAACAAAAACCACTTATCCTAGTCCTAGGATTAAATACCTAAATATTATGGGGCTGTCTGGGCTGCTTTTTAAAGCAAAAAAATTGATTTCATAGCCGTTACGTGTAAAATCAGGCCCTTTTTTTGACCAGCCATCTCAAAGGTGGGGTTTACCTTGGCAAAGCAACGATCAATGTTTCAATTTTAAGTTGATGAAGAATCAGCACCATACACGCCCTATGAAGTGGATTGAACTTGAAATTTGATCCGTCCGTCGAGGTTGATCATCATTCTCATATGCTATCTAACGTCTATTGTACTAGTACGTCTCTCAAAATGTATGGAGGTCCGTCTGTCTAGGTCGATCATCACATGGATCCTAACTTTTTTTATCATCAATCTGACTTACTATCTAACGTCTATAATACCTATGGATCTCTTAAAATATATGGATAAAAAGTCGCTGGCAAAACATAGGCCCCAATTGCTGTTATAAAATACAAAGCTTCTCGAATACTATTAACTGAAGCAATTGTCAAACCGCATTATGAGGCAACATTTAAGACGACTTTGTGTAACAGTTCATACTCCGAATTACGCAAAATAACCTTATAATACTAACGCCATCAATCCCCGAGTTCGCTCGTCCCTTGCATTACTCACTGAGTCAACTCGGTCAACAATATTAAAGGGAAATGGAGATTCCAAAATGTAAGAAAATTATGCTTACCCGACTCGTTTCAGTCACGGAAGATAACTTTTTCTGCTATATCCAGCAACGGCTGCAAGCAATCCGGAGAGAATTTCCTTGCAAACATGAAAGAATAACTAGAATTCGACACCCGGAGTTCTCGAATCATTTTCGATGAAATCTCAGCGGGTCCGTAAGTATATGGGTGCCCGTCTGTGCTTCCGGTCCAATTGACCCGAGTGAGAGTGTAATGGGTGCACCCATGTGGATCCTCCATTGACAAAAGTGTCGGGAAGTAGTGCTCTTCCGGGTAACAAGAATCCAGATTGTGACATGGCAGCCTAAACTTCCGCCACAGCCTCCTGTCCTTGATTACAATCAATGCGTGTTGCCGGGTCAGGACGAAGAACTGAGATCCGACCCGGAACCGGTTGAAAGGTACCTCCGGTAGCATTACGTCTTTGCCCCTGGAGATGTACCTGTCATTTAAATATGGATCGTCGTCTAATATTTCGATGAAGCTGCGGTACATAGGGGTTGAAATTGAGGACGATGATGACATGGAATCCGTGATGGGTTTGATGAATAAAGAATTATAAATAAATTGGAATGAATGGAGAGGGATGCAGTTCGGGGAGACGAGGGCGAAGTAGGAATTTAAAGAGTCGTCAAGGAGGGCGGTGGCGAGGAGGCGGCGTGTGGCGGAGATGAGAGTAGGGGTGGCGCGTTGAGTGCGTTTCGCGGATATGAAGCGGCCTTCAAATACCCCACCAGGAGGAGTAATTTTGGAGGAGGGATCAGCGTGGATGTAGATATTGAAAAGTCCCTGGTGGTTCTTGAAGAAGAGTTGCCAAATCGGGGCAAAATGGAGATCTGAATTTGTAAGGAACAAGAAGGCAATTTTGGGTTTGGACTTGGTGGTTCCTAGACGGGATACGGCGGAGCCGCCAGGGCGGATGGATGCAAGTGTGGCACGTCGGAAGAGGGCGAGATCGTCAAGCTCGTCGGGGAGAGAGATTTGGGCATGTTTAAGGGGTAGAATTCTGGGTGCAAGGAAGAAAAGAAGAGGAAATGAAAGCAAAAGAGCAAATGACAAAACAAATGGTGTGTTAAACATAGCCACCCTATCCATAAACCCAAAATACTGTTAATCGAAATCAAAATTGAAATCAGAGGAGGAGGGAGATGAAATGAAACTGCTCTGAGAGAGAGAGAGAGAGAGGGAGGGAGGTCTATCTCACGATGACAAATGAACCTTTTACTTTGTTTAAAAATTAAATTAAAACGGACAGGGACATGGACATGGACATGGACAGGATGGTGAAGGTGGTCGGATCCTATGTTTGCTGTCTCACAAGTCACAACCAACCACTGTCTACCTCGCCTTAATTTGGATTAAACCATTTTTTAGTTGACCAACCATGCTTCATGTACCGAAATGGATGACAATGTGGATGATCGAACACTCATAATAGGAGGGGCCCACTTTTTTTGTCAATTTTTTAATCACATGGAACCCACGTACATGTGAGAGGTTGTCAACTTCCATTGTCATCCATTTATGTACAAATGAAATTGCATGTAGTCGACATCCTCTCACATTATAGTGGGATTCAAGCGAGCCCCATATAAATTAAAAAAAGAAAAAAATTCCCCCATCCCCCTATTGTGAGGAGTCTGTCAAAGAGGGTGTCAAACCTTCCCTGACATCCCCAGCATTGTTCCCTAAATTTTACCCAATTAACTCTATTTTCCATACTTGAGGGTAAATCCCTTTAGATTCCTAACATTTCATAAGCATGACAATCATATACCAAACTTTTTGACATTATACACAATATCTGATTGGAAAGATAACAATAAAATTGTCTTATTTGTTTTTCTTTATTCCAAACATCAAACTGCGACTACTCAAATTATATTAAATGCTGCTATTTTTTTTTCCCAATTTTAAAATTTCCATAGAGCATCAAATACGCATTGCGTGGTCTAAATGTACATTTTCCATCCAGCGAGACTCGGGACATGAGTACTACAAATGGAAGGCTAGGATATCGCCACACTTTTCAAAGGTTTGGGAGCTTTCGAGGAATTTATCTTTATTTTAACAATAAATTACATAAAACGAACAATTTAGTCTATATATTGACAATTTAGAGCGCAACAATTTACTTCTGGTCCCCAGCCGGTGATTTTTTTTACACAACATTATTATCGTGGTTGTTAACTTACCCAGTCTATATATTGACAATTGTGTTCTTTAGTCTAGTTTCATTAACCTAAATAGTAATTAAAATATAAGTTAATTTCACTAATTAATTTTAACTACAAATTAAATGAAATTCACAATTTTTACAATTAAATGGAATTAACGTTAGGGTCCGTTTGATCGCAAGTGGGAAAATGGGTGGAAAGAAAATGAATTACAGAGAAAATAATTGACTAGAACTTATTTTCTGTGAATTGTTAATTAAATGTGTTTAATTGGTATAATTTTTCACCAAAAAATTTTAAAATTTTGGATCTTTTTGTGTTCGTTTGGTTTTGTTTTACATGGAAATTGTCCATTGAAGTGATAATTTTTTTTACAATTGGTTATAAAATTTGTTTTCATTACCAAAAAGTTAAAAAAAAATATTTTCAAGAAAATCATTTTTTTATCAAAGTTTAGTGTTCATTTGACTTTGTTTTACATGAAAATTGTCTATTAAAATNTTTGACTTTGTCTTACATGAAAATTGTCTATTAAAATATTTTTTTTTTTTACAATTGGTTATAAAATTTATTCCAATTGACAAAAAAAAAAGTAATATTATTTAGCCCCACTGGGGTTACAACTTCAATCTAGGTGTCGTTAATGTGACATTAAATGATAGGTGAAATTACATAAATCATTTAATTTCACATTTCACTTAACCTATCATTTAGAGCTACATAGACTGCGGTTACAACCCCACTGGGGATGAATAGCGTTATTCAAAAAAAAAAAAGCTAAAAAATCATTTACCACCAAAAAGGCAAGAAAACAAATTTAACGATTTCCTAGAAAAGAGGCGTGTGAGGAAGCAAATTGGAAAACCAGTTTACCCAGAAAATTTCACCTATCAAACACTACTTTTGCTGGAGAAAAAGTTTTTCAACTACCTAGAAATAATGCATTTCAAACACTGCCTTAAGGGTCATTTTTTTCTATTATTAATAGTAACAAGTATTAATATTTATAAATAAATTGAATGCATTAAAATTTCGACACTGCGCAAACGTTGTTGATATAAATCAAGGCAGGTAATAAGTGCAGACTTGATTTG